AACCTCCCAGGCTCAATCAGTCCTCCAATGTCAGCCTCCCTGGTAGCTGGGTCTACAGGCATCGACCACCATACCCACCTAATTTTTGTATTTTTTGTAGAGACTTGGTTTTGCATGTTTCCTAGGCTGCTCTTGAAATACTGGACTCAAAGGATACACCTGCCTTGGCCTCCCAAAGTGCTGGGATTACAGGCATGAGCCACCATGCCCGGCTCATATGTTTAACTTTCTAAGGAACCACCAAGCTCTTTTCCAAAGTGGTTGTATCACTTTGCATTCTTTTAAGCAATATGTGAACAATCCAGTACACAAAATTGTCAGAGTGTTTTTGTTTTCATTTTGGTTTTAGCTATTCTAATACATGCAAAGTGTATCGCATCGTTGCTTTAGTTTTCATTTTCCTAAAGACTAATGATATTGAGCATCTTTTCATTTACTTATTTGACATTTGCATATCTTTTTGGTGAAGTATGTGATCAAATATTTCACTTCTATGTTTATTGAAATGTCTGTTTTCTTATTAGTTTGAGGGTTTTATGTATTCTGAATACAAGTCATTTATCAGATATATGATTTGTAAATATTTTATCTTGTATATGGCTTGCCCTTTATTCTCTCAGCACAGACTCCCTAAATAACAGTTTTTCATTTTGATGAAGCCCAATTTATCTTCTTCCTTTTGTGGATCATGCTTTTGGAGTTATAGCTAAGAAATATTTAATCCCAGAATCCTTGACTAACTCCAGATCACAAAGATTTTTCTACTAAATTTTCTTCTAGATGTTTTACAGTTTGGGGTTTTACATTTGAGTCTATGATACATTTGAGTTAGTTTGTTGCAATGAGTGAGAGGGGGTTTTGAACTCCTGTAGGATGGGTGTTGGCATGCCAGGGGCTTCCACAGTGTCTTCATCTTCCCCTTTAGGACTTCCCCTGGTGCTAAAAGATGTGTGGACAAGCTGCTGAGCAGCTGCTGAACGCTGAGGTGCCACATGGAGGTGTGGGTGAGGTAGTGTCCACTCAAGTGTTTGTGTGACTACACAGGTGCTCTGGTCTGGGTGCCATGCATGCTGCCTCAGTGTGTTAGGCATGTGCACCTGAGTGTGTGCGCACAATGCGAGTGTGCACACATGCACGTGCGTGCGTGCATACACACACACATATACACACACCATGAACACCTCTCTTCTTGTCTTTGCCCTTCTCCCAGACGTGAACCCCTGTTACTTGTTACTCCATGTGTGTTACACTGGTTCCAGGGCCAGCACATGGGTGTGCTCTGACGCTCTGGATAAGTCTCTGTCCTTGCCGGGCACTGCATCCTTGGGTCTCAGGAGAGGAGTCCCAAGTGATCTGCCTTGTCCCCAGTCAATAGGTCTGAACCCAGCAACTCTGCCCCCACTTTCATGGAATACGGTTTTTCCAATGCCCTGCCCCAGTTTCAGTGGATTTTCTCCAATTCCTTAAAGGTGACAGAGTTTGTGTCCTTACCACATCAATTTAAGGTTTTCGTTCCAAAGGAAATATAGGGAAAACAAATCCAGGTGGGATTTTACACCTCTCCGGCAGGGCTGCTCCTCCCCACCTCCTCAGGCCTACACTAAGACAGAAACCTCCTTGGGATGCTGCTGTGAGGGGTTGTTTCTCTGTCTTGCCTTTCTGGAAATCTGAAAGAGTGACCAAATGGGTACACCTGCCAGGAAACCAGCTACATCTTTTCAAGGCTCATGATAATGCAACCAGCAGCACATGGACTCTCTCCCTCGCTTCTCCTCCTGCCCTGTCTCATTTCCCTTTTCTCTCACTCCTTTTGCCCTGGAAACTCTCCAGTGAAGCATTAGCACTTAATCACTGCCTTACTCTTTGTTTTATGGGGAACAGAGACAACTACTTTGCTCATTAATTTTCAGCCTTGTTCTTCTCTAGTAGAAGTATCTGAGGCTGCACATTTTCAAGTATTGCTTTGGCTGCATTCTAAAAGTCTTGGTATGCTTTATTTTTATTCTTGTTCAGTACTCAACAGAGACCTTTCTCTCCCACAAACAGTATCCAGTGAAACTGACCAGGTTCCTAGTCATCTACCTTTCACTAACAGCCTAGCCCGGCCTAGCCCTTTGAGGGTTCAAGCTTGCACAGAGGGATCTCCATTTGCATTCTTTCCAATCTTATATAAGCCCAAGGCCTCATCTTCTGTCCTGATGTGGTTTATGACACCTACATCACTTGATTGTCAAGACCAACAAATCCCATAAGGCAGCTTGAAGTCACTGTTACATGAATACTTAGATTTTCAGCTACCTCTTGTTTTAGTGCTTTGGAGAATTTTTTGCTGCCTTGGAAAAAGATTGCTATCTTGCAAACCTAACCATGCATGTGAAAGAGAGCTTATCAAATTTTCCGCTCTGTCTAGATGCTTTCTGGCAAAATATTTTTCAGTATTCTAGAATGCCCTATTTCCAGAAAAGGAAATTTGCGTGAGATTTCAAGTATCTATTTAAGAGTGTTATCTTACTATATTTTGCCACAAGATTTAACCCAGTATGTTCATGAGGATTTGGTAGTGGAAATTTTTGATACTCTGGCCCATATGTCTAAACTACATTCACCAACAAAAGAAATAAAACACATGTTTTCTGAATTACTAAAATTAGTAAAATATATAAAGATTTGGTATCATGGGAGAATGTTGTCTAACAAGAAAAATCAAATTAAAAAATTTTTTTGTTTCCTGAAAACTGGCATTCACCATTAATTTAGACTTCACTTAATCACATCCATTAAAGGTTCAGTCCAAGAGATAAAAGAAGAGAGACATATTTTAATTTTAAAGGACTTCTTAAATGACAAGGACTATTGTTATATAAAAATGAAACGTGTCAAGTACTAAAAATTCAGCAAAGTAAAATACAAAATAGAAAGTTAAAGTTGATCTAAAATTCCACCATACAGAAGTAACCGCCATTATCATTTGGCCAAAACAAATCTAGACATCTCTCTAAATGGAAGGATAGATAGATGAGTAAACAAATGGAGAGAAAGAAAATTATAAAACAGATGATACATATTTCTTTACCTTAAAGAAGTACTAAATTTAAATTATTTAACAGAAGTAAAATTAAAGCTAAATGAAAGGAATCGCTTGGCTAGACACAGTGGCTCATACCTGTAATATTTGGCCTTTGGGAGGCTAAAGATTCCTTGAGGCCAGAAGTTTAAGACCAGCGTGGGCAACATAGCAAGACCCTATCTCTAAAAATAATTTTTAAAATTAGCCAGGTGTGGTGGCTAATAAATAAATGAAACAAATTTAAAAAGTAATCATCTAATTCCAGAAAGTGTTTTTTCTTTCATCATAAAAGATAATAATCACTAAAACCACCGTTTTAAAGCTAAGAAAAAAAATTATGAAAATAAACAAGCACCCTCTTTTTCTTAGGATCAGCCAGACTCAAATTTTATGTAAAATAGTCTAATTTTAAAACTTGGCAACTAACTCATTATTTTAAAAATATTGTGCGAGCCAAACAAAGCACATCTGTGGGCCCCAGTTGACAAAGCTTGGCCTGAGCTGAGGATCACTGGATCGACTTGGCAGGACCATGTACCTTGTAGAGAAATCTTTCACCTGCTCCAAGTCAGACAGAAAAATGTCAGCTGTCAACATCATGCTTTACTGAGTCCGGGTTTTTGAGTCTAGTCTAAAAAGACATTTACATATGAAATTGCTTTTTGTTTTTAATATCGTATTTACCTAGTGTTTGAAAAAAAGTTACAACAATGGAAAATAAAATGAGAAAAAATGCCAACTTATCAAAACTACCTATTGATTACCTTCTAATAAGGTGACTTTGTAACCATGTCAGACCCAAGCTGGCTGCTTGGCTTGTATGAATTCCATATCACTGGAAACAGTCAAGCACAGAATGGATGTTCACAGTGTAACCTACTGGCCTGGGATCCCAGCCAAGCATCTGAAGGATGATTGGCTGGATTAATAGATAAATGGATGGATGGATGCAAGGTGAATTAAGATCCCTTTTATAACCCAGGCTTTCTTGCAAGTAGGGTCTTAATTAATTCACGTATTTGTATGAAGAAAACTCAGTGAGGCAGGAAGTTAGATGAGTGGGTTGGGAAAGAAAAAAACAAAAGGATGCTTTATAGTTGTTTTGCCTCCTTCTCAATCTTACTTTAAAAAGCCTAGCCCCGTGATGTCATTGAAAATAATTTTACCTGCTCCTTTGGTGACTTAGGTTAGGTTCCCTGCCTTGTTTATAATAGAAGGAAGCAAATATTTATCAGTTTCCACTCTCTCACAGTAACTGAACGACTTTCTGAAACTAACTGAAAAACTTTTCCCTAGTATGTTTTACTATTAATGCAAGCATAGTCTTTTATCACCTGTCCCTTAACTTGCAATTGACAGGAGGGGCATGGCTACAGTTAACAGTAGAAAATTGTAGTTAGATGATAGTGCAGCTCTGAGAATTGTAGATCAAACTAGAGGTCTTCATCAGCATATTTAAAAAATTAAATAGATTATTAAAAAGGCAACTCCCTTTTTTGGATGTATTAAGAACTGGCTTTACAAGAAAGATGTTGATTTTATGATTTTCTGGTACTGAAAATCACTTTTACCCACTCAAAAACTATCTCCTGAACTGTACTCACTTCTAAAATTTCTCCACTAAAAATAGATCCTGTTTCCCATAAATGAGCACATATCATTAGGAAAGTAGTATCATTGTTATTTAAACCTATTAGTTATCGATTATTCAGGAGAGTAGTATAACTATTATTTTAACCAAAGTATCAGTTATTTGATTATAAATTTTCTGAGTGATTGTCAGTTGAGAGAATATGGAGACAGTCAGAGAAAAGCCTCAGAAGAAAAACCCGAGAGCAGGAATTGCCACTGCTAAAAGTGGGAGCAGAGGAGGAGGAAGAAGCAGGCATGAGAACGTCAACAATGGAAAAGACACAGTCTCTGCGCAGCTTACCTCTGGATGCATCTAATCGGGTCCAGTTTTCTCAGCCTCTCGTTTCATTAGATCTCACTGTCTTTGTCTTCCAAGCTAGAAAACACATAATGTATTAAACAAGAAATTTTGCTGTCTAGAAAAGACATATCAGCCAAAAGATATTCATAACAATGTTGTTCGGGTGCAGTGGCTCACACCAGTACTCCCAGCACTTAGGGAGGCCAAGGTGGGCAGATCACAAGGTCAAGAGATCGAGACCATCCTGGCCAACATGGTGAAACCCCGTCTCTACTAAAAATACAAAAATTAGCTAGCTGTGGTGGTACACGCCTGTAGTCCTAGCTACTTGAAAGGCTGAGGCAGGAGAATCATTTGAACTTGAAAAACAGAGGTTGCAATGAGCGGAGATTGTGCCACTGCACTCCAGCCTGGTGATAGAGCAAGACTTCATCTCAAAAAAAAAAAAAAAGAAAACGAAATAAAAGGAATCTATTTGGCTGCTTTGTTTGTAATAGCCCAACAGCAGGAAATAGCACCAATGCCCATCATCTGTGGAATAGATAAATAAATTGTGTTATACTCCTACTATACAATAAAAAGGAACAAAGCACTGATATATATATATATATATATATATATATATGAGACAATGTGGGTGAGTCACACAGAGGTAATGTTGAGTAAACGAAGTCAGACACAAATAGTACATTCCAGGTGACCTAATTTATGTCAAGTTCAAAAGCAGATCAAACTAAGCTGTAGTGTTAGAGATTGGAATAGTTGTTAACTTTATAGGGAGGGAGCATGAGGGAGCATGAGGGAGCCTTCTGAGGTGCTGGAAATGTTCTGTATCTGAAGATTTGAGACTTCACAAATCTTAAGTAATGTCCATCTAAAAACAGAAGAAATTTGAGAGTAATCTCAAAGGTGATGCTCCCATCAGTTGAGAAAAGTTTTTTGAGTGGGTTCTAGCAGACTGGAGCTTAGTGCCAGTGACAAAGAGAGATTGGTGTAAATACAAATTTGTCTTTAGAAAGCTAGACAGTGAAACCCAAATAGACAGAATCCAGCCTTTATTTCTGTTTGTTCCCCTAAAGCCTCACACAAAATGATGATGAAGAAATGCACCCAGCGTTCATCCATGTTTGCTAGTGAACTAAGTGCTTGATAAACCATGTCTTGTATGGATTCAAAGCAGTTCCTTCATCTTTTTCTATTAATTTCCTTCCAAAGCTGTTTGAACACAGGAGCACAATCGTGGGAAATGATGAAAGACTAAAAGGTCATGCCAAGTGAATCTTGAATTTTTTTTAGGTAATTGATTTTTCAGCTAGTTGATTAATCATAGTTGAAATTAAGGCAATTCTCTTTATTTTGCTTCCAGCCTATTTAGGGTCAGTTGAGTAGGAAGCATACTTATTAACAGTAACTGCAAAACTTGCCATCTAAGAAACAAAGATGTGTTGACCATATATGATTCTATGGGAGTGGGCATGTTGAGGTTGAAGAGTTGGACCTGAAAAGTGAGTCCAGGTCTCCTCTAAAGTTCTGTGCCATCTCTCCAGTGAAATAGCTAATTTTTTATAACCAAATCTCTGGCTGTATTTTAAGTTGGACCATGCCAGAGCTGCCTTACTAGTGGGATATAGCAATGAAATATCGTTACTTAAAGCTTGCTTTCTTATTTGAGTTGTTTTAGATCATCCCATAAATACTGTTACCTTCAACTGAGATCCTTGAAAAATTCTCCATTTCATTCTCCATCATCACACTGCTGGCAGATTCTAGCCGATGGTTTCCTTCAGGGTACACACGGAATCTCTCTCCCTAGTGAAAGAGAGTGGCTGTTTTAGGCTTGTTGCCTGGTTCCAAGTCTTAGGATGGGTCAAGAGAAAAAAATCCATAATCATGATGACATTCAGTAGAAACTGCTTTGGGAATTCAGAAATGCAGCATGAAATTAACCCAAAGTGACATTTGCCCTGAATTACTGGAACTTGAATGGCGACCCTTTCATAAAAGTTTGCTTTGGTACTTGTGATGACCACAATTGGTCAAAAATCTTGGCTTTATTGATTTGACCTCTGAGTTTGTTAAAGCATTCATGGTTAACAAAAATGATGTGTGTGAGCAAGCGGAGCTCACCTGAAGGGCAGAAAGTAATAAGGCAGCCAGTTTTCAAGAGCAGATCTCCTACTTAGAACCAGGGTTCCTCTGCTGGGATAAAAATTGCAACTGAGACACAGAACAGGGTGTAATAATCTAAGAAGAAAGTTTCATGAACAACCTAGGATGTCTAAGGACCAAATTGTTTGAGGGACTTTGCCAAAATTATATAGCGAGCGATTTAGAGAGGTAAGTCATGTCCGTAACTGTAACACTTTTATCTTCGTATGAATAGATGACATCCTTCTGCATTTATTGAGGCTAAATCAACAGCTTCAATAAAGCCATAGCTCTCTTTCTCAGCCCTTTGTGGGAAGAGACCATTCCATTTGTAGCACATTGTTCAGTATACAGTAGAGGTAGGAGCTTAATACATGTTTATTTAATTGAATAGAAATTCACGATATACTTCACTACAATTTGTAAGATTTTGTGCTTTTATAAATGATTACTAATGTCATCATTCCATGGGATCCTCCCTATTAACCAATAAAGTTATAAGGCAAGTATCATTCTAGCCTCCAAGACAGGATGCCATGGCTCACTGGGAAACAGAATGGGTAGTTCTGGATCTTAGAGTCTCTGCTCTTTCCAGGCTCATGAGAGCTGAGAAACCAGGTAATCAGGTAAAAAGCTAAGTTCAAAAATTGTTCAAAATCACTAGTTATTCATTTCTACTGTTTATGCAATGAAACAAATCAAGCAACAGAAGACTGGTTGAATAAACTATGCTAAATACATATAATGGAATACTACACAGCTATAAAAAAGGATGAAGATCTTTACACATCGATATAGAAAAGAGAATCAAGGTGTATTAAGTTTTAAAAAGCAGTATGTAGAAGTCTATGTAGTAAGCAACCTTTTGTGTAGGCAACGTAAGCAAATAGTATATCGATATACTTAATATATTTGCATAAAACACTGAAAGAATAAACATGAAACTGTTTAAAATGATTACATGTAGTGATTGAAGGGGGATAGTGTAGATAACGTCAAGGGTATGACATCTCTGGTCCCAGTTCCTCTACTGAGGAAGTTACTTTCTTTTGAGCCTCAGTGTTTTCAGGGTAATGACACAGAACTTCTCAGAGGTTCTGGGCCTTGGAAAGTGTTGGCTTTTCAGTATGTGAACAGAGAAGTACAGAGAGACAGAGGGAAGAATATTCTAGGCAGAGAGAATGGCATAATCCAAGTCGTGAAAGTTAAATAGCATATCTGGACAGTAGTACAAATTGACTTTAGCAATAAAGTTCATTTAGAGGAATACTTGAAGGTAAGATTGGAAATGCCCACTGAAATTGTATCACAAAGACAAATCCAACAGTTATTTACTGAACACATATCTTATACCCAGCATCATGGCAGGTGCTAAGGGTATTGTGGTAAATGAGTCAGGTGTCTACTCCTAAAAAGCTCACCCATCAATAAAAAGATAGCAAGTTTCTCATTGCAAACAGCAATGTATATTTTCTTCATTGGCACTGGGATACAACTAATGGCAGAAAAATGATCCCCTCAAAGTTGTGAGACTTTTCCTACCAAAGCTATCTAGATTATTGCAGATGACATGTAAGAGAGATGTGGAAAAATCAGTTCCTTATGACATAAAGAACAAAAAGAAAGGACATACGTCCAAAATTTTGTGCAAGAAAGCAATGTGTTTGTTGCACCTACTGGATGCCGACTTCAGGGAAGGGAAGAGATCACAGACAAGTAAAATTTCTCATCTTAGTGAGAAGGAGAGAGAATGTGACATCTCAGCATATTCTTTTCATTAGGAAAAACCTCCTAAGCAGAGGAGGGTGGGAGGAGAAAATGAGGTCAAGTTTAGAGTGGCTGTTTAGATGTTTGCGAGATAACACATTGTAATAGTGATCTAGAAGGCAGCTAGAAGCAGGAGAGGAGATGCACACAGCAAGGAGGCTTTGTCATCAGCATAGAAGTGATCTATGGAGTCCTAAGAATTGCCAAGATCACCAAAGAAAAAAAGGCTTCAATGATCAGGCAAAACGCTAAGTTCAAAAACTGTTCAAAATTACTAGCTATGCATTTCCACATTGCATATAATGAAAAAGATTCATCAATAGAAGATTGGTTGAATAAACTACACTAAATACATACAATGGAATACTACACAGCTATAAAAAATGAAGATCTTTAAACACTGATAGGGAAAGGAGGACCAGGATGTATTAAGTGAAAAAAGCAATATGTAGCAATATACGTGGTATGCAACCTTTTGTGTAGGAAACATAAGCAAAAATATATAGACATACTGTCTTATATTTGCATAAAACACTGGAAAAATAAGAAACGAATTAAAAGAATTATGTGTAGGGATTGAAGGGGGATAGGTTAGATATAGTCAGGGGTGTGACATCTCAAAGTATAACTTGCTATATTGTTCTAATTTTTTAGCCACATAAATGTATTACCTATTCCGAGTATGAACTTAGAAAAGTAAGTGCAGAGTGCAGAGCCCTGTGTGTAGTATAGAGAGCTTGGGAACTGTGGTTCCATTTCCAAAGAGGAGCAGGAGGTGATGGTGGAGACAAGGAGCCATTTTGCGAGGCTTGAACCTTGCAAAGGTAGGAGGGGAGCAAAATTTACAGGTGAGGAGATAAGGTAGATGGGTCCTAGCCTCTTTGGTGTGTCTCTTGCTCAGTACTCCCCAGTCCCTGTTTTCCAGCCAGGCCACCCTCTCCTGTCTCTTCCTGGACATTCTAAGTAACTCCCTAGTTTTCATCACGCTACATTCCCACCAAAACAAACACCCTTCCCAATGTTTTCCACTATTCCAAATCTTCACTCATTCTTTTTTTCAATAAACATCCAAGCACCTTTATGCATGAAATGCTATAATAGACCCCAGAGGTGAACATGCCATGGTCCTCCCCACTTTGAAGGATCACTGTCTATTTATAAGAGAGACAGACACTGAGATTAACAATGCAACATGATAGAGGTGACATTTACTCCAAACAGTAAAAACTGACCAACAGAGGGGTTCCCTCCAGTTCTCTTACACTCTTTCTTAGTGGTGCCAATCAATTGTATTGCTTTGATTTCTTCAGCTAAAATTTTTAGCCACCCATATGCTTGTCACCCTCCTTGATTCTTGAACCTTCCTGTTATTTATTTGCCAAAAGAAGTAGCCCTGTGAAAATGGATATGATCACCCTCGTGACATTGATAAAGAAGGGGAGACTAGCAGAGTTCAGTTGTTTGCCCAGGGCCCAAAGCTAATTCCTTTTAAGGGGCTATGCTTAATGGAAAGGGGTTAAATTTCTGATTCGTATGAAGGGTAATAATTACTTACTGAGAAAAACATTACAAGGCTTCTTTTTGTGTTGATTCTACCTGACAATAGTGGCCTTAGGTAAGAAAAAAAAAAAGCATGATTCAAGTTTTGTTGAAGTTTTGACAAGCCAAGAGCTACTGGAATTTTAATAAGCCCATTCATTGCACACGTTTGTTTTTATAGCACTTTCCCCCCCGACCTAAGTTTGACGTTAACAGAGCAAAAGCCAAGCTATATTGGGCCTTGGTAAAGACACAGCTTATCAGAGTTTGGGGCCAGCTCCCTCTGGGCATCTTCTCTCCTTATCACAGATGCCAGCCTCCACCCCACCCACTCTAGGAAGCTCAGTGTTGTGGCTGGTTCTCCTTTTCTAGGATGTTCCATGAGGCCACTCGTAGCAGCGGCCACTGCGCTTGCTCTTTCTAATTCCTTCTTCCAGGCACACAGCCTTATGTAATGACTGAACTCTCGATTAAGCCAGAGTAAAGAGATTTAAGGAGCAACCTGGGACTCTCTGGCAGTATAAGCGGTTCCGCTCTCAACTACAGCCCATTTCATTTATTCCCCACTAATTCATGGTGACCCTCCTTAGTGATGGGTTACTATCTGGATTCCCACACCATCTGGATAGGATTCTGGACACTGGAGAGTTTCTATTTTTACCAGGCTCTGGCATTGCACTTGCATTCCATTACAACTGAGCCAGAGGCCACAGAAAATTTGAATCATGCTTTTTTTTTTCTTACCTAAGGCCACTACTAACAGGATAAAGGGCTTTTTTGCACCCTGTTAGTAGTGCAATGTGGTAGCATAGGAGACAAGCAATCTGTGACACTACAACAGAAGAGCAAAACAGAAGGCAGCTTTCAATTAAAAAAATATCTTTGGTGTAAGCACTCAGCTTCTGGGGCCAGTTCCACCTTGTCTGAAGGAAAGCTGCAGGGGGAGTGATTTTGCAATTAGGAGGCTGCATGAATTGCAACCCAGTTAAAAACAGGGCAGTGCGAATTCCCCATTCTTGGAGTAAGGGGAAGAGAGGCAGGACAGAATGGGAGCATTTGGGAGTTGGGTCATTACTCGTTGCATAAAGCTGCCCCGTGCCTGGAAGGATAAAGTAGGAAGAACAAGCACATTGGTCTGCTAGAAGTGACCTCAGGGAATAGCCTAGAAAAGGAGAACCAGCCATAACCCTCAGCTTCCCAGGCTCTGATAAGCTGTGTCTTTACCAAGGGCCAACGTAGCTTACCTGTGGCTCTTAATAATGTCAAACCTTTGTGGAGAAAATGCTATAACAATAAATGTGTTCAATTAATGAGCTTACTAAAGTTCCAGTAACTCTTGGCTCATCAAGGTTTTTGTATCAGGTAGAAGCAGCACAAAGAGGGAGGCTTGTAATACTTTTCACGGAACCAGAGCAAATCCAGTTCCATCTCT